ATGATGTATGATGTACAATGTATGATGTATGATGTATAATATATATGATATATGATGTATGATGTATGATTCATGATCAATGATGTATGATGTATGATTCATGATCAATGATGTATGATGTATGACCTATGATCTATGATGTATGTTCCACAACCCGTGCGACACCCGCTTTTCCACCATAAAACACAAGAAATTTAACGGTGTTCAATTTCGTGTTTTTAGAAAAAAATGTCAGTTTTAACGAAATGTCTGTTTGGTGAACTGCGCTCATCATTGCTCATTTTTCGAGCAGTACCCACTCCGTTGCCCCGGGATTTCTCCACAAGTTGTGTCGTACTATTGTGCACGGTTGACTGTGTCCGGATCTGATTTCGCCAGAGTGCTATGTGTCGCCACTTCAAACAAAAGTAGGAAACTTGTCAAAGCAGTTGTGCTTGTATCACGCAACGAGGTGATGATGGAGGGGTCAAAGTTCGTGCCTATGCGTGGGCGTCCTGGTGTAGATGGGTGGCCAGATTTGGTAATAGCAGGCGAGGTCAAAGACTATTCTTTGTGGCATGAGGTGCAAGAGAAAGTGTCGGACATATGAGACTGTATAGGTAATACCTTAGCACGACCAGGAGTGTTTTTGAGGATGAAATACATGTCCGTCTTTTTAGAGAATGCTAGAGTCGAGGACCCGCGGATCCACGTATACGGATCATCAATAAATGCTATGTATGGCTTCGGCTCACGACCTTGTCCGCGTGGAACCCCCAACATCACTAGATCTGGACGGATTGTCAGACCTTGTGTGTAAGGGAAAAGTGTGCGGAGGTGTGGGATGCATGTGTGGAGCCGAAAATGATAAGAGAGAGGTGTTAGAGGCAGTAGTCGCAAGTAGACGCTACACAGCGCACTTGTGGTTTTCCACGCAAGTACAGAACCTATATCACGTACTTCGCATTTCTCTCCAACAACCTTCTTAAGTCCGGATCCCTGCCAGATGAGGACGATAACGTCAAAATGTTATGTTCGCAGCTAAAGCATTGTCAAAATCGTGCTGCTTGATTCGATAGCGGATATATGCGCCGCTGAGGAAGATGACTCTGCCATTATCAACCGCACACCAGAAGCGGATATCGAAGGCGCATAGCGCTGATGCACCGGCCTTGAGATAAGGAGAACGACCTCAAAATAGCATGTGCTTAGCTTGAGGATGATGCTTGAGGATGACGACCTCGATGAAGATCTTGCCTTTATCGAGCGCACAGTAGTCCGATGTCATCCTCCATGCGGCTGATACATCTGCTCCACATTTGATGTAAATCCCACGGCGAGTTACTGTTGTCGTGTGCTTGTCAAGGACACGACCATCATCCTCAGCGGCGGATGTATCCGCTATCGAATCAAGCAACACCATTTTGACAATGTTTTAGTTGCGAACATAGCATTCGATGTCAAGCATGAGGCGATACTGCTTTCTACTCTAGCAGATACACCCCCGCTGCGTATCAAGACCCTGCCCTGACGAGCGCACAGTGTGTCGATGTCGTCGTCAATGAGGTGGACACATCTGCTTCAGTTTTGAGGTCAAATGCCTGACGGGTTCATCCTCAGCGGCGAATGTATCCGTTATTGAAGTCGTGCTGCTTTCTTCGATAACAGATACATCCGACGTTGAGGGTGATGGTTGTGCCCTAGACAAGCGCACGACAAAAGTAGCTCGCGGTCCATCAGGCTCATACATTCACCCCAGACATGAGGACGATGACCCCGAACTGCCATGTGCTCAGTATGACCTGTGACAATGTGGAACTGCTTTATCATGCAGAAATGTCATGTGCTATTTTGAGCAGGGTCGAAGTCGTGTTGCTTCCTTCAATAGCGGATATATCTGCCGCTGAGGATCAGGATCTGGCGTCAACGTCGTTCTGCTTACTATCATGTTGAGTAGCGTGTTCTTCTTCGTGATTATCAAATGCAGATAAAATGACATCCGCTGGTGCTGGCAAACGAGCTGACTCTGCAGGAACGACTGTCGAGGGCGCAATGCCCGAGTCTGGTGGAAATCGTGGTGGGCCTGCCTCGACTTCTAGCGGTGCTTCCGTAGCGGAGCGCGGTCAGCGTGGTTCTTCGGGTGGCAGGCACAGTGGCGGGACGAAGAGAAATCCTCTGTACTACGAGTATGACAACCGCCAGTGGTTTCTTGATTGGGTTTCTGCTGACGAGTCGGCGTTGACGAGTCCACCTTGCGGTGGAGTCGTCTTCGTGAAAGACCGTAATAATTTTCGACTCGTTGGGGCTGTGAGAGGGTGGGAAGATTGTTCGGAGGGAATTCGTACTTTCACCCTTCAGACAACATATGGGAAGAACGGTCATCCTGACGATGACGCCGAGGGTGTAAGATTGGCTTGGAAAAAGTTCCGAGGTTTTGGCAAACAAGCCACCATGCTTCCGTTTTACATGGCAATAACATCAGATTTAGAACCGTCTGTGCTCTTGCGGAGCTTCTTTGATGACTGGGAGAGAATAGTGCCACCAGCCAGGTGTTTAGATGTGTCGTAGGAAAATCGTATTTCGATGCCGATTACGTATGTCGGCGATGACGAGGACCTCACTCGAACTTCAGAAATGTCGACCGACGTTGCTACGGAGGGTGCGGCTGGACTGCTTGACCCTAACTCTGTTCCTGAGCAGCAAGAACCCTCAGGTGCTTATGAACAATCCGAGCCGGAAGGTGAAGCTGTCGAACGCAGACATGCGGAGGGGGCGGTCGCCGAGGTGACTCAGACTCCAGAAAGTGCTATGACTGGGGTGAAGATGACTGGAGTTAGCACTCCTAGAGGACATCCTAACGTTGCGGAGCAGCAAACGGGTGGGGGCATGGGTAGAAGACCTGTTGCGGTGGGAGAAAAAAGAATCGACGAAGAATTTGGAAGCGAGGGGGATGGAGACGAAGACACACCTCGTGTATCTTCACAGAAGAAAAGGAAAACGAGTACCCCTCGCCAGATATCTGACAAGAAGAGGAAGTCGATAGGGAAGAACCCTGAAACATCGAAGGGGAGACGGAGAGGTGGATCGGGGTAAGGGTCATCGAAAGGCAAGCGGGCACAAGCTGATGAAAATAGCAGTGGGGACGATAAGGAAAAGGTTATCGATCTGGACGTCGGGTACTTTCTGCAATGGAAAGAGGGTGTAAAGAAAGATGTCACTTTTTCTGTCAACCTGGAGAGGGTATTGGAGTTGCCACCGTGGGAAAGGCAATACAATCATTGTTCGATCGACCCGACCCACACGGCATACATATTGCGGTCTAAGATGGATGCCTTCAAGAAAAAAGGAAAGACGTCCGAGAAGCCAGTTTTGAAATAGGCGTCAATCGTACGGCTTCCCAACCCCGGACGGAAGGCTGTTCGTGTGACCCCGGACAAATTCAATGTGGAGAACCCGAACGAACACTGGTACTACGCTGTGAGCGGACAACACAATGTCAAGGTTGCGCAGGAGTTGAGAAACCACAAGATTTGGCAGAAGCATACCTTCTACGACTGACCCTTCAAGCCGTTGTACTTCACCGACGAGGACTTCGACGGTTATACGCAGATAAGCGTGGACGAGAATAGGAAGGACAAGTTGGTCCCTCCTCGGGCTCAGCGGCTGTCAATGATAGACATTCATCAGGAGTAGAATAACTTGAAGCGTCCTCGTGCTGTCACAGGCAATATAAAGTTCAAGAAGGATTTGGTCGCTAATTATGAAGAGTTTCAGAAAGCTGCCTTGAGGAAAACGCCTTTCTTCGACCTTTGGGGGTTGGCTGATAAGAAATCGAAGAAAAAGGAATGGACAGAGAAACTGAGGTAGTACTTGCCTTTGGTCATGACGGACGATGAAACATGAAAGCTTGGCATAAAGTTCTACAACGAGTGGAAGAGGGGTCATCTGCTCGCCCGTGATGGCACTATGTGGACGAAGAAGCCTCCAACAAAAGACCCGAAAGTCACCCGTGAGGGTCAATCATTTGTGGAGGACAACAGTGGCCATAAGAGAGTTGTGTATAATGTGCGTGTGACTGATCTGGAGATGCGGAAAGGAAAGAAGAAAAGGAAACACGAGGAGCGCAACTTTTTCGTGCAAGTGAATGAACCCGACGTGCATTGTTGGAAATATTTGGGGGATTTTACAGATGCGGAGAAACGTCGGATCTTGCGAGGGTTACTAGACCTGGACATTGTCTGGGTGCAGCAAGGAAGCAAAAATTTGATTGAGCAGGGAAACGTTGGGATGAAAGATGCTTGTGAAATGGTCAAGCGAGATCGGATGTTGCTTCGGTTGTCGCATATTGTGCAATTCCAGCACGTGACCCTCGACAATGATGATTGGAATGTCTCCTTTTTCCGGACGAAGGAGCAATTGGTGGCAGAGTACGCCTCCAAGGGACTGGAGGAGAAGTTGTGGGCGGGCTGCAGGAAATGGGTCACAGATCACTCGTACCTCAAGGAATGCCCCTAGTGTCTCGGCTGTCCGAGTGACAAGGACGTGTTGACAACAATGAATTTGGTCAATCACGAGAAGTTTCCCACTGAATAGAAGCGGGTTGTGATGTCCGTGCTCAAAGGCGAACGTAGCAAGACAGAAGATGAGATGAGGAAAGTTGTGATGCAGCTGCGGCGCCACTCTTGCATCATCGACTTCTGCGATCCTGTCGACCGAGCACGTTGGAATGAGGAGGCTTTTCGGTCATTGGCGACATTCCTTGAAGTTGTGTGTCCTAATTTCTTGACTCTGATTCCTTTTTCTCCCAGGCAGTGGGACTTCTCCTTCATGGATCTTGTGCACATTCTTCCAATCACGAATGGTTGTGCAGGAAAATGGGTTCGGAGGAGTCAACTTAAAAGGCACTACCAAACCAGGAACATTGTGTGGGCCGAGGAGGACAGGATGTATGTTCTTTTCCATGGGGATGATCTGAAGCTTAACACCCCGCCGACATATGAGGGACGATTGTCGGAGAATGACGCTGCACCTCTTGGGAAAAGGCGAAAATGGACACCCTCGGACATTGCCGAAACACAGTTCACGACCACACGTATGCATTGGCTGGTGTGCACCACCTAAAGGGGTTCGTCTACAAGGAAATGGAGCGCCACCCGAGTATGCTATTGATTCAGATAGAGTTCTTCTGCCCAATCGAGAATGCAGTTATGTTCATCACCAAAGCACACGCCCAAGTTGTGTGGCATCTTCTCAAGAGCGGGCGTCATATTGTGGCCATCGAGGGAGACACAGAGCTCCTGAACTTTTTGATGACATATGTTGCGCACGAGGTGCACACGGGTGTGGACAACTGTGAATTCTACCCAGTGCAGAAAGACGTCGACCATGATCCTCACGGGAACATGTGGTTCAAGCTGTCAGCCGAGAATAGGGCGAATGTATACAAGTTTCTGTTCCTCAACACACGACCCAAACTAAAAATTGAGGACGACTACAAGTGTCGTCGAGATGTCGTGATTGGTGCGTTGGATGGCTTCTATGGTGCTTCTACGGAGGCTGCGGCCAACTTCGTGGAGAAAGTTGAGGAATGCTATTTCGACAATGGCAAGCTGGAACTCACATTAAATTATTACAAGGCTCAGTTCACCGAAGAGGACAATTTCAATGCAAACGACGAGGAAGAAGTCAGCGAAGGTCAGGGGCCCTTGGATTTAGAGACGGTATACCACAAATATACTGGAGGTATGGCGTCCTTTTCAACGCCTTTCAGTTCCAAGCATGCAGCGAGTTCGCCTGTTGTCACTCCTGTCGTGATGCCGACCTCGGGTTCTTCGAGAGGATTTCTCTCCTCCTTGAGAAGCAAACCTCTGAGCCCCACTGTCAAGCCCGAACGTCCTCTTCCACCGACGCACACATTAAGATTGCAGAAAGGTCAACTTTATTTCTTCGGGACGATGCACAGGAGTACCGAAGAGTCCGATTGGGGTCATCATGTAATTTGGCATCTGGATATTTTCCAACCGGCAGTTATTGATGGCGAATGAGTTATGGCGTTTAGTGATAAGGGCGAATGAAAATCAGAACCCCGTTTGTCCAAAACGGTATTTGAAGAGGCCGCCCTCCAAGCGGTTATCGACCACGTCGCCGAGGTAAACTGTCGTCAACCAGATGACATTGTCGTCAAAATGTTTGGAGAACAGAAATACGGGATTCTTCGGGAGCACAATATGTTGGAGCTATGTTGTAACTTTCATTAATTTGAAACAAGTCCAAGTTATGAAATCAAAATAGACTGGCATATTCCGTCGCCTGGCCCAACATGCGGAGAGGGAGCTGGACAGAGCGGACGTGGAGGAGATGACGAAGGAGGGGACGGAGGAGGTGAGGACAGACTCCGCAGCGGCGATTACGGAGGACATGGTCGAGCACTTGACAACAGAGGGGGCGGCGCACGGCGCGGAAATGTTACGAGCTCGGGATGGGTCACAATTGCAGGCGGAAAGGGTGTCACGACTTCGGTAGAAGGTGCGAGCTCACAAACTGGGCAGGGATCATTGCAGATTGAATTCCACCGCCGACCCATGCGCTGCAAGCTGCTGAGCTCGTTGGGCAAGGATATCGCTCATGTCCCGACAGCGGATGTATCCGCGGTACAGTTTCTGCCAGATCCAATTTCATGGCAGATGTGGAGTCTGTAGACGTGGCTTCTTCCAAGGATCCAGGATGTGACACTCGGGAATGCGACGGTGTTACGGATGCCAGTCTCCTACACGGAGAGAATGTGGTGGAGAAAACTGTAGGCGGGTCATACTCCCCCTAAAGGACAAATTCCCTTGTGAGTCCTTGTGCAACGGGATCTGAGGTGGATAAGGGGGAGGGGCTGCGGGTTGGCCTTTCTTCTGCCGGCACCGGATGTATTCGTCACCCAAGCGGGTGCATTAGTGTGGACCCGAATGAGGACTTAATTGTCGGAAGCATTTCGGCCGGTGGCCGATATATCCACTCCTCGGTGCATCAACTCAGCAGCACTGACGACACCCTTGCCCAGGGTACGGAAGACCAGGAGACTGCACCCTTTGACACACATTATGGCGGTCCCGTGGTGGGCATGTCTCGCTGACGGATACCCCGGAGAATCATGCAGGTGGGTCAAACTTCCCCGAGATGGGATTTGACGGACACAAGGGGCGCGGGCTGCGTGATGGCGGTCCTTTTGCTGGCGCCGGATGTATCCGCCATCGAAGCCTTCATGGCAGCGCAGAGCAGAAGGGGGACCTAGTTATCGGCATTTTCATCGGCGGCGGATCTATCCGCTCCTCGGCGCAGCAACCACCCTGCACGGATAACACCCTTGCCCCAGGTATGGAAGAAAAGGTGACTCCACCGCCTGAGACACATTGCAGAGGTTCCCAGAGGGGGTATGTCTCGCAGTTATGTTCAAGGTTGCCTGACATGCAGCCCTCAAAAGTCCTTATGGCCACAGTCGTGTCGAGCCAGTGCAATGAGGACGGAGACGTCGCCATGATGGAAGCGGAAGAGGTTACTGTCCGTCGTCCGATCGAAGATGATCTTGTCAGGACACTTTTTCATGAATTCGACTCCCCGGTTGTTATCTCTCCCTCTTCACAATTATTGACTCCTCAAGATGAAGTTCTTGCCATCCGTGGGAGTGGCGGGATAACTGGTTGTCCTGTAGAGTTGAACCCCGATGCCTCGTAAAAAGTCATTTGCCTCGTCGACGCAGACATTAAGGATGTGTCTTGATTTCCATCCCAGTTAGATCACATTATGGCATCCGCGCAGACAGAAGAGTTCGTGCTGGCTCTAAGCGCGACATGCCTAGAAAAAAACTCGCCACAACCGAAAGTTTTAGACGAGAAGAATGCTAAGGAACAGCCGTGGCTGGTAAGCAGTGACATGTGTTGCTCACATTTGAGTCTATGTGGTGTATGAGCACTTGGAGTTTAATCAGTGACATGAGTTGCTCACGTTTGGGTCCCACTACTGTATGAGCATTCAGAGTTTACTTTTCGATGTAGCGAGTGGCGATGTGTTTGGATATGTGGGTAATTGCAGGTTGCCCCTTGGTTGTGCAGTGCGGCGATATGTTATATTCATAATCTTCTTTTCTTTACTTGTTGTACAGGTCGGCCATCTCCTTCATGTGTCGTGCAGAGAAACTCGGAGGAGTCTCTCACAAAGATGAATATGCCGCGATTGTCGAGAAGGGATATTCAGATTGTAGAAGCGGCGGGTATGAGTTTGGACCCATTTGCGAAGTTGCACATCAAAGTTTGCAAGAAGTGCGCCATTTCTCCGCTGCCTGAACCCACGCCATACTTTTCTAGAAGTACAAGTAGAGCGGTTCAAATTTATAATACTTTTAAAGCGCAAAGCAAAGAATGGAACGGCTTGGACAGTTAGGGCGTTATCCTTCTCATGCTCATGCGTGTTGCTTGGTTGGAGTGTGCAGCACATGTATGCATGTCAGGCGTCAAAGGAAATCAGGAAGAGTACTCCAAGTTGATGGACAAACTTGTTCGGTGTTGCCTACCGCCCTCGATGGTTATTGCTCGGCTGCCGGCCGAGAACTTGGTGATTAGGGTAAAACACATGGTGAGATTATTGGACAGAGGCGGCGAGCTTAACGACGAGGTTGTTAATTTTTACTTGTCTCTCCTCACTCGGGACTGTCCTCGTTCTTCGTTCAAAGTGTACAACTTCCTCTCCCTTTTCTTTATGAAGTTACAGTCGCAAGGTTTTAGAGGGGCCAGCAGGTGGACGCAAAATGTTCTTCTTCTCGAATACGATATATTACTCATCCCCATTCATAAGGATTGCGAATACTGGGTCCTTCGTTCAGTACATTTGAGAAAGCAGTTTTGGACTTCGTCGACTTGTTTTATAACCCTGTCTGTGACGCGTCATTCGCTTCTACTTTATTTAAGGAGGTTGTGGACTATGTGAATAAAGAGGCAACCGTACGAGGGTTGCCCAAAAGGTACAATAACATGAGATTTGAAGTGCTCGTTAAGGGAGAGCCTAGGCCTGTGTATACGGCCATACGTATACGGCCCGTACGTATGCCCGTAGGACCGTAGGTACGGGCGCCCGGTTACGTGTACGGGCCGTAAGTACGGGCTTCGTACGTCCGTACGAGGTCTTGAAGGGGGGGGGTCGGGAGCGATTGTCGGGTGGTTCGGTGTTGGGTGGCGGGGGGAGTCCGACTAGAAAAAAA